CTTGCGTTCCCGCAGCCGTGCCAGCGGCTGAGAATAGCTCAGTTCTAGGAAGGGTCTAGTCGAAACCCCTCTCCTTGCCCCAGTGGTCTCCGGCCAGGGAGACACCGTAAGGTGTCCCCTTGGCATACTGCAGGGAGGGGTCCCTGGGGCAGTGCTGGCACTAAGGGTCAGCTACTCCATCCTCCTCTGAGCTCCTCCAGCCCCTCTCCCTGCCCGCGTCTGTCTGGGCTTTATTTGCGCTTGGGAAATCCTGGCCACGTTTTTCAGATGATGTTGCTCTTTCTCGCTGGGAGGGAGGATCACAGCTTAATCCCTTCTGGCTCATGTTGTGCCCTGGGCCTCCTGCTTACAGAAAAAGGGCACAGTGGAGCATCATTCGGTGCCAAGAGGAAATATTTTCAGCTCTGAGTGTGGTACAAGGGGGAGAGCCATGAATATCAGATGAAGCTCCTAGGACATTCTCTCCAACACTGCATTTGTTAAAAGTATTAGAAATTCGCCAGTGCTTTTTAATAATTACAAGATGCACAGCATCATCTAGTGGCCGAAGCAGAGGAGGAGGTTCAGGACACCGAGGTCCTTCCAACCTGAGCCCTGAGCTTGAGGGCAGAAGAGTTTGGGATTTAGGAATAGGAGCTGTAGGTGGGAGGTGGAAGGCTGGTTCTTGACATGTCCCCCACCAAAAGCCCCATTTTATACTTCCTCTACCCTGTGGCAGAGGGTAAATGAGGCACCCAGGGCGTCAGCTTCATTACTGCAGCGGACAGGGGCCTGATCAGGGAGTGCCTGGGGCACAGGCTGGTTTCCTTGAGCAGAGCTGCAGTTGTCAGGGACTCCACTGATGCAGTATGGTGGCGAGAGCCGTGCCACAGCACAGACTGGCAAAGCTAGAGTACAAACACCACCATTACAGCACATGCTGTGGTGGCACTTTCGTGTCCAGGCAGTGCCAGGCCATGCACAAACACTTCTGCCTTCAAAAGGAAGTATAAACCATAATCTGAAGGTCACTCATCCGTGCGGAGTCAGGCAGAAAAGAAGCTTTCTGCTCCATTTGGGGAGCAGCTTGGTAGCAGGCTGGCTCCTCTGGGGCAATATAAAATTCTGCTGCCCCAAGGCTACTGGACCAGGACTCCTGTGCCCCACTTGATTTTTTCCCAGAGGCTGCATGGAAAGTAACAAGCTGGGATGGTATTTCTGGTAGTGTCGCTATTATCTTCTGGAAGATTTCTGCAGCAGAGGGCAAAGTTCTGGCTAAAGACCCTTTTGACCCCAGAACTCCTGTGGGACTCAAGTGCTAACATCTGCCTTATAGGCTGTGTAGTGAGGAGAAAGCAGAACTCTCTCCTCAGGAGCATCATTCCCTGGGAATGGAAACACATGGGTGAAGAAGAGCCTCAGAGGCTCCCAGGCTGTCCCTGTGCTGTGCAGGCTATTCAAATGTGCTGTTGGTAACGTGGGCTTAGGAGACACCTACAGAGGACAACAATCAAGAGCAGACTGGTGCACTGAAGCCCCGCTTTAGAAGTTTGCATGATTCATAACTTTGTCTTGGTGACAGAGGGGAAAAAAAGGGTATTTAATTTTAGTTCAGGTGTTTCCAAACACCTATACTGCTTTTATTTGTGTATGTTTTCTCAGCACCACAGCTGTGTCAACGAAGATCTGGGCTTCCTAAATAAACCTGAGACTTACAAAAGGGCTCAGGGGAGGTAGACACCCACCGTCTCCTGGACAGAAGATCCTTGTCATGATCACTACTGAAGCATGGGCCCTAAGGGACATAGGGCAAAGAGCAAAGGACTGAGGAGACTCCTGAAGTCTTTAAAGAAAATCTATTACAGCAAATTTATTTACAGAAGAAAGTTACTGATGAAGGGAAGAGTGTCCTCAGGTTTGGGTACCTCTGCAAGTATGGCCCTGTGGAGTGTAGGCCCCAGGTATTCACACCACTTGGTTTGGCACTCAGGGCCTCTGGCATGCATGGACAGCAAAAGATGCCAAAATTTGGGACCCACTGTGAAGCAGGTTTGTGTAGGGCAGAAATCAGGTTGGCATTGCCGTTGGGTAAAGAGAAGCAGCAATATAGCAACAGGGACATGTGTGCTGTCATGTAGAATACAATGTGCTTGTAGCAGGCTGTGAGTTAGTTACAACATGTTTGACCTGGTTTTGAGAAGAGGGGAGAGGTTTGCCCTGCTCTTTTTTTCCCTTGCCACATCCATTCTAATTACCGCAGATCTGAGGCTGGGAGATGCCTGGCTGTGATTAGCCTGCAGACAGCCTCAGAATAGCTCCAGCCTACACACTGGCTGCTAATGCTCTCTGTAGAGCAACCAAAACAAGCAAGAGCAGCTTGGAAAGCTGATACTGCAACCCACCTCCCTGGAAAGACAGGGACCCTGCCGATTTTGCTTCAAATGGTGCTATTTTAATTACATTGCACAACAGTCCTGAATGTTGTAAAGAAGCAAAGTGCTCTAGCACCCAAGCCTTGGCAAAGAGGGCTCTAGAGACCCCACAAGTTCATAGAGACAGTGGAGGAGGAAGCTGCAGGAGCCAAGTGAGAACCACCGCAAGACAAAGCAGTACTGCCTTGAGCTAGGCCCCTAACTCCAGGGGGCAGCCCCCCAGATTTTGTCTGTCAAGGACTGGAGGGCCATTGGTGCCTCTGTGGGGCAGCACACAGCAGAGACACAAGAAGCAGTGTTGGATGCTTTTGCACAGACGCGTGGCCACCCTGCCTTCCCCAAAGCTGCCTTTGACTTCCCAGGTCCAGCAAGTCTGGTTAATCATTACTGACCATTTTGAAGGTCTCCAAATTCTTTGCCCGCATTCATGCTTTTTTTTGTTTTGCCATTAAGAGTGCCAAAGGCATCTGCACATGCTGTCCTGCTCACCCTCCCACTGAAACTGCTTCTAAAAGCTGTCGAAGCCAGAGCTGTGCCCCAGGCACTGCATTGTTCCCGCCTGTGGCAGGACTGTCTGGCAAATGCACATGCTGTGGGACATAGAATGTTTCTTGGGAACCATCTGGTAACTCTGTAGCCCCATTAAAAGCGCTGGCTGCCCGCTTTCAGCTGCTGCTTGTGCTGCAGCAGAGACACAGACCCATGCGAGACCCTCAGCTGTACGCTGTGTTGGTCGGCAGCCAGCACCAGATGGACATGTGTACGCTGGAGGAGCCATGCAAGGGCTGGCACCTGCTTGTCCTCCAGCCCTCCGAGCATAATGCAACGATAACATTTCTTTCATGCATCTGGCCCAGAATGTGACACATCTCTGCTCTGCCAGACAGCCTGCGCTCCCCTGCCAGCACCAGCCTGCAGGAGCTCAGCTCCTGGCTCTGTTGTTACAGCTGGAATGAATTTGCCTCCTTTTCATTCTGCGGCCGGGACATAGCTGTATTTGGCTTGTCTATTTCTGGTCACACAGGTACAGCTGAGATGAGGGTTTGGCTTGCCTTATATTAAGTGCATAGCTTGTTTGGTTTGGTTGTGTTTTAAGTGGAAAACTGAGAACAGGAAAGCTGTCTGAAACATTAAATTAGCACAAGGTTTGCGCACAGCTGCTCCTTGGGCAAGGGGGCCAAAGCGCAGGGTATGGGGCTATCAGAGCATCTGGCCCTAAGAGAAGGGTTTCGTGCCAGTTGAGATCATGCTTTGTACCCTGCATCTTTGATCATACAGCTGTGGAAATGTAGTTGCAAAACTACAGTGAAATCTGTTCTCATTCACTCTGGTGCATATACATATTGGACAGCCAGGCAGGGCTGAAAAGCGAAGAGACTTGACGGTATCTGTGGGGTATGGTAGGTGTGTCACAGAAGAAGGAAACATATCCCCACATCTCCGCTTTGGATTTTCTCCCTGCAAGAGTCACTCAGGTTCTGGTTTGGCTCAATAGTTCTTCTCTGAGAGACTTAGTGGGCCTTTCTCATTACTCACAGATGTAGTACCCTGGGGTGGTGCATTTGGGTTTGCATGTTATGAGAGCAGAGGCTGGGGTCTCTCAGGGCTGACATCTCTCTCTGATTTCAGGAATTGTCCTTCGCCTTTTAAAAGAAAGAAAGAAAAGCAAGGTAAGAATTTGTGAAAATGCTTTAGAGGACGAGAAGAGGTGGAGTGACTGAGCCCCTGGTTAGCTGACATTAGTCAGTGCTGACTGTGAGTTGGGTCCCTGAGGCTGAGGTCCCCTCCCATGCTCTTTTGTACCTAACCTTCCTCAAGAGAAGTTTGTTAGAAGCAAGAGGCAAGATTTCTTTAAAGCTTAAAGCAAGGGGTGTGATGTGCCGTGGGGCTTGGCAAGGGGGAGGGAAGGGACCTCAGCAGTATCTTTAAAATACCAGAGTCTCATGTAAAACACATGCGAGTACTCCCAACTGGCAGTGTAGCAGAAGCTGCATCAAACTTCTGTAAGAGCTGCAAATATCCATGTGACGTCAATCCCTCAAAATAAAGTGCATTCCCTAAGTTGCCTAGTTGTGTCCTGTGAGCTTTGAACCATGCTAGGCAAAATATGTTTGCCAGCCAGCAAAGGAAATAACAAAGTTAAAGCTGGATCTGACTTCTCCAAGGGCCTGACAAGGAAGCTTTCTGTGCTGCGTCCTCCTAGGCTCTGCCAAGGACATTGCGGTCCACAGCACGTTGTCATCCTAGGAAACCTTATTTTTTCCAAAGAAACAAGCCCAGGCTTTCTTCTTGGAGGCGAGCCTCAGAGACAGCATCAGGGTTGAGGGTGTCAGATGAGGTAGAAATTTGATTTGTGGGGAGGGCCAATGACTCTGCATGTCTGCATTCAAAGGTGGAACAATAAACAGTTGTGTTAACCTGATCTGTTGGTGTTTCTTTTTCAGGAACTAATGTGAGACATGAGAGCCAACAGCATCAGCCTGGCAGGAAGGTAAACAGCTTCCCAGAGTTGTTTTCCTAACTGTATATTGAGAAGACAGAGCTGACCACCACTTCCTAGGCTAAATGGGTTGGGAGGATGTGGGGCAGCTTATTAGGCTTTAATGGTTGTGGGAACACTGTGCCTTGCTGCACAGTGATGCGGGCCCAATTTTTTTTCCCCTAAAGTGCAGTGGAAGCAGTAGGATGAAATCTCTCTCTGAGCCTGAGGTGTCGGAGGGCTGGGTGGTGCTGGGGGCAGTGTGCAGGGTGTCTCTGCCTGGTCTGGGGAAGGCATGTGTATCAGCAGCCCAGGGAGCTGACCTTCCAAAGCTCTTTCTCCCCAAAGGCTCCAACGTATGAAGACGTCCCAGAGTTTCCTGTCTACGCCACCGTGAGTAAACCCAAGAGTGTGAAGCAGGATGACAGCATCCATTACGCAGACATCCAAGTGTTCACCAAGGTCCGGGAGCGCTCTGCAGCAGAGGTGAAGAACTTACAAATGCAGAATGCCACAGAGTATGCCACCCTCAACTTCCCCCGGCCCAGACTGAAATATGACAGTAAGAATGGGACTCTGGTATAAAAGGCGTGATGGCCCCCTCCTCCTTTAGCAGCAAAAGGATTTCACAGATTTAGAGATGCTGTAAACGCAAGCTAACCTCATGGACACAGCAAGTCTCCTTGAGAAACTGCAGAGAGGCTGTGTCTTCTACTTGGATTTCTCTTTGGAGGACACAGGCATATTTAATCTCACATGATGAGTTGTTTCCTATCTGATTCTGCTGACAAAAACCACCTCTTCTGCTTGGAAGAGTTGCCTCTGAAGCTGGCAACGCATCTCCTCTCAGCACTGTGAGAAGACAGAGCTGCTCCTTGGCTGATGAAGGCTAAAACCACAGCTCAGAGCTGCAGTGAGAAAGGTCCTGCTGTGGCACAGGACCAGCTGAGTGCTGCTCTGCAGATGGATTTGGGAACATGGCATACAGGATTCAATACTTAGACAAGGGAGATGTTGCCACAGGATTTTGTGTCAGTGTTAAGAAAATTCTGCAATGTGCAGAATGACATGTGGATGTGGATACTATGAAGAAATGGCACGAAACCTTTAACAGTATCTACTGCAATATCTTCCTCCAACACCTGCCAGTGTAACTGCAGTCATGCACTATGTGCATCCCCTTTTCTCAAAAAGCTGTGTTCTATAACATGCACAGCACACTAAAACCAAGGCCAGAAATGCAGAATTAACTGCAGGGTACAGAACAATTTCTTTTACTGAAGGTCTGTACAGATATACATGCTTATGCCAACATGCACAGAAGTGAGTACTGAGCTCTCAGCTCTGACTGGAAATAAAATAAGGAAAATCCTCAATTTAACTGCAAGGCAGCCATTTAAAAGCCACTGCCTATATTTAGGGCAGTTACCCAGTCCTTAGATACGGCAGCTGTCTGCGTACCTGAGGTACTGGGAATGAATGCCGGTCAGCTTAAGAGAGGGCTTTGGACTTTTCTTCATTTTTTTATTTCTGTCAGCCTTAGTTATAAAACCCAGTAACATAGAGCATGCACCATGTGGTGTTTTCTGCTAACCCTCCCAGATACGCCTTTGAGGATTTGTTTAAGGATTTAAAATAGTGTTAATAATACAGTATAGCAATCGTCCAAAAGGCTTCTGCCACTGGACTGAATTTGGGAGTTGCAGCATTGGCAGTTGAACAGGGCTCCCAAGCAGTATCTTCAGGCACTAAATCAATGCTTGGCACATTCTGTTCCTAAATAATGCCCTGCATAGATAAATGCAGATCATGGGACAACCTCTTTATTGCCAGTGTTTAAAAATGGACATCCTGGTACATTTTATAAACCTACATAATTTTGCATGTTATGGCTCAGCTAAATGTAAAAAGCACGAAGGAGTTCCTGCTCATTACAAAAAATAAAGCTGGTATGGGCAGTGTTTGCTAAGATGGAAGTGTTTTGAGGACCAATCCTACAATTTTTCTACCTTTTTGCCCATGCTATCCAGTAGACCTCAGCAGGGCTGTTGTAAGGCTGGAGTAATGTTTGCAGGAGAAGGCCCCTTTTTTATAATGGATACAGTATATTTTTCTACCTGAAAAGGGTTTTTTTGCCTATGCTATCCATCTGACCTCAGTGGGGCTATTGTAAGTTCTGCAGCAGAAGGCTCTTCGTTTATAATGGGTACAGGATTATGTTACTGGAAGGGCTGGTTCTTCTAAGTGCCAAGGATTCCTCTTTCTGCTGCTCCAAGTTCCTTTCTGTACTCCATGCCCACCATGAAAACCTGTCCTTTGGTTTGGGCACAGGATTTACTTACAAGAGTGTGTTAGGGAGTCATGGGACACTCTAGCACTCAGTTCTGCTAGCCCAGCTGTCAGACGGGCTGTCAGATCTGGTTCATGCTGGGCAGCAGTTATGTATCTCCTTGCACTGAATTGCTGGTACAAGAACTAGAAAGGGACACTGCCTTCAGTTCTAGTCAAGCCCTCCGCATCATAGGAAGAAACTGGATTTTTTAGAGACATTATTAAATCTGGGCTATTGTTCAGGAGATGGGAGGTTTTCTAGAAGGTGCAGGCTCCAACAGGTCATTTTAAAAAACAATTTAAGTGAAACAGCCCATTAGTGCAGTGGCATGCACACCATGTGGTACTGAAGTTTTTCAGGAATGCTGGGGCCAGGGACAGCAAGCTACACAGACACTAAGGTCAAGCTCCTGGGCCCAGAGTGGTGTAAATTTGCACATCCATCAAGTTAAACCAGTTTTGCTGTGGACATAAGTAGGACTGGGTTTGGCTCAAAGGAACTTGGTTTCACTTAATCGCTTAGTCCTGTTGATCTGTGGATCAGCCCTTTGTATTCTGAACGAATGGGAGCTGCAGTGGAAGCTGTCTTCCAATGAGTGCCTCAAAGCCTGGAATGGTGGTTTATCTCCTATTCCCTAAGGAGTTCCAGCTTCAATATGTAGCTAGTACTTGGTGTTGTTTCTGGGAGTACAGCGTATCTTACAGGTAATCAAATGCTCTGCATAGGAACAGGAGCAGTACAGTAATTTTGCCTGTTTTTCAGGCCTTGAATAGCTAAAATGTGAAAGCCACATGTTCTGCAATAAGGATTTTCCTAAAGGACTTGGTTTTGCACTTCTAACAGCATATCTCCTGTGTTTCCTGAGGTCGTTATGTTCAGGCGGCAAATGAGTGTTAAGGTATCAAATGTTCCTTGAACATTAAAGATGTAATTTTTAGTTTTAACTAATAAATTTGCACTTTTTGGGGAAGCCGTTGCCCACTCGCTGCACTGGGGCTCC